TGAATATTCAATGAAACAATTACGAAAAACTGGCGAACAACACCACGCGACTAACCCGATAGCGGTAACGTCCAAAAATGATCCGCAAAACAACACTAGGTGTTTCGAACATGCCTGCCGCGAAGGCGACGCTGCGGCCTGAAGGCCGGCTTGTGGCTGCCCGCCGGGCGTCTCCCCGGCGGCCTTTATTAGTCGTGCACACCAGCTTGCCCTCTACAATCCCGAAGCTGTATAAGTCCAACAGGTCAAAAGCCACAAAACGTCGAGTTAACGTCAAATACCGAAACCTGGTTTCGACCATCCAGGCCGAACAAAGTGACAATGATGGCGGCGGCAACATCTCTCGCCGAGATATGTAGAGCGAGGAAACGTATTGGGTCAGGAGTGTAGTTTTCTTTCCAGCTGGGGAGATCTACCTCCCTAACTTTGAGAGGAAAGTAAGTCAAACACGGGGAAGTCTTTTGGGATATATTTGGCCATTACCTCGTTTACCGCCCCAAACCTACTTTGCAAAACAACATTCCTGTAGTGGAAGCTTTATGATTGCCACCCACGACCGCTTCACAATAGCAGTACCTCACTGCCCAGCCCAAAGGAACGTTTCCGTGGAAAACGTTCGAGTCAAAAGGCAGATGGATCAAAATCGCTATGTGGCGATCCGTAGCGCACACCAGACGTATAACGGCACCACAATAATTCAAGATTTCGGCCGTATTGAAGACATGTTGAAAACTGGATCGGGTTCTCGCAATGCACATTGTACAAGAATAGCAAAAATGCCGAATGAAAGGAATCCACCGAATGAAAAAAGAAAAGAAAAAAACATGAAAAAACTGAAAGAAAAAGGAATGACAGAATGAAAAATCCCTCGTACTGTGTGTCGGGGAGCAGCAGAAGTGTTTGGAATGCAGCTGTTGGCACATCCTAAAAGCCTGCCTAAAAGTCTGGCACAGCCTGAAGCGTGGACCGCTAGTTTAATCTACTCGCTGGCACACTGTAGTGAACTGCAAGAAGTACGACACCGTGTGCAATGCTCTGCGTCCACGTATCGTTGCAAGACATCGTGTATCCTTTCAAGGAGCAACAATGCTCAAGCGATAGCTTTGTCTTGTGCAGTGCTACGGCTGCAGGAAAAGCCTTGCTGGCGACAGCCTGAAGATCAAGGACATGCACCATTATCTCTCAACAATTCCACTTTGAAACGCCTGTAGAAGAACGCCTTAAAAATGCGGTAGGTAATGAAAAACTAAAACCAGCTCCGGCTCGAAAGAACTCGGTTGCGCCAGTTGCAAGACCAGACGTCTCAGACCGAGAGCTACGGCTTAGTCTCGGAGGGCCGTGCCCCACCTTGGGTCAAGTCCTGGGCTCCCTCAGTCAGATGGAGGTGGGGGACCGGCTAGGGCACGACTTACGCCAGCGTACCCAGTCCGGGATGGGGGTGAGGAATGGCCCATCGATGGGCTTTTCAATGGGCTCGAGGGACATCGATGGGTTCAAGGGACCAGTGGTTGCTTCCACCATCCTTCTTAACGATTAAGCATTGCTTCGGGAGGTGGGGGCTCTTCGTCTGCCCCGGACAGACGGTTTGCTGTCTTAGCACCCTCAAGCTCGGCCAAGCGTACACAGTTGGCATCAGGGGCGCGCCTGTCCGCCTCGCAGCGCTCCATCGCCTCTAACGCTCGTTCACACACACACGTCCCAGTGGCGTCGGAGGTGAGAAGGCAGAGCCATACCCAAAACGGAAGCCGACGGGGACAGCGGATTGTCCGGCGCGGGTGACGGCGGAGGCCGCGGACCACGAGCGCGTCGGACCACCGTCCACCCCTCCTCTCCGGAAGTTGACAGTGGCGCAGGGGAGCTGGTCGGCAGCGTGGGCGTTGCCGGGCGGGCCGGTGTCCGGGAGGGGACCAACGACCAGCCGCTTGCCCCGCCGGCACCACTGAGAGTCCGTCGGACCTAGGAGCGGAATGACCTAAAGAGCTGACATCCGGTTTATGGTAGTGAGCCGTTGTGCTGAGCTTTTGGATTTATCTGCATGGAACGTCCTGGAATGACTAGCCTCATGCAGTTGTCGTGCTTCGCGAAATAATATGTTTTTTTAGCGGTTTCAGCGAAACGATTTCCTTTTCTTTCATGAAAGATCCTGTGAGATATCTGAGCAGCGCCACAGTTCACACATCATGTCTGCATGGCGTCACACTGGTCACCTTCATGTTCAAACGACGTACGCTTGTCACAGGCTGGTCTGTTTTGGCCGTGCGGTTTCGTGTGGCCGAAACGCTGACATTGGAAGCAGCTCGCATGGAGTAGGTAACGTATACGCGCACTTTGACGACTGCATGGCCATCACGGAATCAGATAATGCGAACTGAGCGGTCATTTTTTGTGTCGATCGGAACATTTCTTGATTGTAACGATGGGTGCCGGGGTCCATGATCCGTCTGCTTTTCCACGTGTACCTTTTTACGTTTTTGAGGTGTTTTACCTCTGTCTAGATCAAGGTACTGATGTTCTCACCCTTGCATTATTACGCTAAATTGATCAGTGGATGTCTTAAGTTGATTGAATGAGCGATTTTGGAGAGTGAAGATATTCGCTAGGTACGTCGGTGTTTTAGTTCTTCCGGGAGGAAAAACTTCAGCGCGGCCTTGGCTTCCCGGATTTTCGTGACTCGCTTCAGTTGCGATTGGAGGTGATGCGATTGGGGTGAGTTGTGTGGGGTATTGTATGTTGCAATTGCTGTTGTTTGGGGGTGTCGGGATTGGGAAGTGGCCGTTGTGTTTGCAGAGTATCCAAAACTTAACTGTTGGTTCTATGTTGTGAAATGAATTGTCCAGCTTTGAACTTATTCGTTTTATAGGTTTTAAGGTACCTGGTGGGTGTTGTGAAATTTGGACATTATGAGGCTTTGTGAACTGATGTATTGAATAAGAAAATTATCTGAAATGTTTTTAGATGATATGACGATATCCGAAATGGGACAAGTAATTGCAACTCCCAGGGCAATATGGTTTCTTGGTGCATATCTGAATCCTCAGGAAATTCCTGGATAAATTGAGATGGTCAAGGTAAAATGCAGACAAATTTATGCGTGACAGGTATCTGTGAACCATGTCTCTTTCATTACATATGTGTTATTTGTTTTAATAGTGCTGCTCAGCATTAATTAATCAGTGACATGCAGGAAGAATTGACTTCAGAATTGTCATTGCGCTCTTCCCCCTCCTACTTACTTAGGTGGTCATAAGCCTGTACAAAAATATAGTTCCACCATATTTCTATCAATCCATGGACTCATCAGATATGTTCTTGACCATTCTTGGCCATATGCTCAATTATAAAAGTGGGCAATATTGTATGGAAAATAAACAGACAGAAACAAAGCATTGTCCAACCTAATCAGACTTAAACTGTGAGGCTGGTACTATAACCATGGTTAATAACTTTGTGTTTATTGACCAGCTGGTTGTGACAAGTGATATTATGTTGACTGATCTGATGGACGGATGGACAGTGATTGTGACAGATGAGTTTGTGCGGACTGTGGGCTCATCTGATTGTGACATGTAGCTGTGTAGGCTGATCTGGTTATGATAGATGAGACTGTGTAGGCTGAACTGGTTATGACAGATGAGACTGTATGGGCTCACCTGATTGTGACAGTTGAGACTGCATGTGATGATCTGATTGTGACAGATGAGACTGTAGGGGCTGATCTGAATCAGGTGGACAATGACAGATGGTTAGAGTGGAAGAACCTTATCAAATTTTGGTAGTATGCTATGTGATATGATACAGCAATTCAGATACAGCTGTGTGATATCATTTTGAAATCACACAATACCATTGCATTGCAGATTATATCCTCATCTATGAATTGCCTTCAGCCATATGTTGTTCCTTTTGTATGTGCTATTCCTTTGAAAACCAATTTGGAATGAGTTGCGTGATTGTCACTTGATTTAGAGTGTACGCTGAGCAGAGCTTGTTGCCATTGACATACAAAAACCCATCCTACATCATTCCAACCCATCATCTATTCTCCTTCCAGCCTCTTATCAAACTGGTCTGGACAGCACATGACATGTATAACCCAACAGCATGTTTGCCCCATACTGAGTGGTTTTCCCCCATACCCCTGTGTTATCCAATTGTAAGCTGACAGGTCTATTTTAGCTGGGCCAAATGACAAACAGTTAGCATGTTCTGGGACTTTTACCCTGTTCCTCAGTATTATGACTCCAGCATATTTCCTCGAGGCTGGAGAGGCCACATCCCAGTTCAGTGTCACTGGAAATCTGTCATGATGTGTTTTGCTGAATGGCCAGTTGTGTATTGGGCTTTAGACAAGTGCATTGTGTTCTATGTGTTCTTTCTGTGTAAAATGGAATGTTTTGTTTTGCACATATGAAAGGCTTGCACATTCCTTTTGGTATGAAAGTGGTGCAGATAATGTGTTGTAATAGTTTATTATTGGACTTTTTAGCAATATCAATAGCCATATCAATAACTAGAAGTCATTCATGTGTTATGTTGCTCATGAAGAGGGGTTGATTATTTTAAATGATGTGAAACCAGAGGGAGGTAGGTTGAGCAGTGCAGCATTGCACTCAAGATTGGTTGAAAGCCATGTTTAAGCATTTCAAAATGTTAAAAACCTTAAAGCTGGGTGTGATGGCTGCGATCACAAATAACATGCCCACCTTTGTCTCATACTTCTAGCTCTTTTAGGGGTGAACACATGTGATCTTGCTGGGATATTATGCTAAACACAGCATGGCCAGGGCAAGGGGAGGGCTGTCCAACATAACCAGTGCTAACCAGGGGATTAGCTGAAAATCAGGCCAAAAACATGTTCTGTAATTTATAAACACCAGCATACATATCTTCTGAGCATTTTCTGCCTGTTTGCATTGATTAAAAACATTTGTAACTTAGTACATGTGCCATTTAAGAATACATTCATAGTGTGTAATGTTTGTCATGTGATGTGGAATTCTTACCTCTGTTTGTGTGTTTTCAGCACATTTTCTACTTGCAGCTTGGATGTAGATGCACATTTGAGAGGTGATGGCTTCAAAGAGCTCTAAGGTAAGCAGATGTTTTTGTTTGTGAGCTGAACTGTATACCTGCATTGTTGTATACCAGACATTGTTTGGACCACAAGGGCAGATCCTTAGTTTTACAGAATGGTCCTTTAACTGGGCATTTTATGGATTTAGGAAGCCATTTTCAGATCTCTTTGTCGGACTATCAGATCCCTCCCTCCACTCTGGACCAGTTATGTTTTGCCAGGTATTTAGTACCTTTGCTGCAATATAGATAATGCTAATCCCTCAGGCATGTCTGAGTAAATGCTCAGGAAGGAAATCTGAGTTAATGCTGAGAAAACACTGACATTTGCCCTTTGTTGGGGCATAAAGGCTGTGCTGCAACATGCCCCTCTGTGTGCCCTGAGGTCATCTTCTCCTCTGGACATCAGCATTTCCATCACAAGCATGCATGAGCCTGGTGCTGCAGGTCCTGCATTGTCCACCTCTCCCACTGAATAGCCACAGCCCCGTCCAGTGGCGGTTCCCATTACCCCCCCCCCCCCCCCCCCCCGCTGACGCCGCACTGCCCCATCCAGTGGCGGTCCCCGTTACCCCTTGACGTCCGACGCCGCGCTGCCCCGTCCAGTAGCGGTCCCTGTTACCCCCCTGACGCCGCGCTGCGCCGCCATTTCAGCCGGCCGCCGCCGAGCAGACCGAGCACCTCAGCAACTGTCTGAAGGTGTTCATCCAGCGGGACTACTCGGAGGGCACTGCCGTTCGCTTCCAGACGGCCATGCCACCGGAGCTGGAGGGACGGGTACGGTACTGGCGCCGCCAGCTGGCCGCGGGCGTACCGGACCTGACGGAACACGGCCCTGAGCGTACCAGACCTGACAGGGCACGGCCCTGGGCGCCGGACTTACTCGGACGTCTCCCCGTCGCTGGGGCTGACAGGGTGTCTGGGAGGGTCCTCGCTGAGTGCGGCATCTCACATGGTCACGTGATGTAAATGGTGGCTGTGTTGGAAAATATTTTAAAAGATGATGTGATCTTTCAGCTGGACTTTGCGCATGATTAGCCAGTGACCACCTGAAGTCAAAGCATGAACTTCACACTTAAGAATTTAATGATCATTGAGTTTGGCTGGGATTTGTGTGGCCAAAATAACATGAGCTGATGTACAGTTCATTGAAAACACGTTTTGGAGGAAGGAGGTTTTACTTTTGATATGTGAGCTTTTTCAGTCATAAGTCTCGGGAGAGCACTTTACATCAGTTAGGGAACATAGTAGCGACATTTGTTAGCACATCAAACAAGCGTGCAGAGTTCAGAGGAGCTGTGGAGGGGAGCTCTGGACTGGCGTGGCATAGCGGGGTCCGAATCACTCAAGGTGTATCGGCACGAACACCGCCCACCTCGGCCATGTCGATCGCGAGCATGTAAAATAGGGGGCCGTTCGCGTTACGTGCGGCTTTTGCGAGCGCCGTTCCGTTCTTGCGCGTGTTCGTCTGACAGCACATGGGCTGGTTGGGCTGGACGGCGGCGGTGGTGACGTCATCTCTCTCTCTCCGCCAGATTGAGCCGGGGGTGTTCGAGAATACGCTGACGACCGTCAACGAGATATTCATGGAGGCGGAGGAGCTGAACTGTGCCACCTATTGCGAGGGCTGCCTGGCCTGCCTCACTGCCTACTGCATATACACCTGCATGGATCCCCACTACGACAAGGTGCCACCCCGGACCGGTGCCCCCGTGGCTGTCCGAGAGATGCGGCTGGGCTACAGCTGGCATGGAGGAGCGTAGCAATGTCACAAATAGTCGATGGGTGAAGTTCATTGTTAAAGTTAGATGTGTGCATGCATCACCCATAAGTCCTATTTTAGGGTTGCTGAAAATGTGTTTCTCCGCTGCTCTTACGCCCATTTAAATGTGATGTTAGATATTATCGTGCTAACGTGGACTGCCTTGTGTTTCCGCCGAGGTCATCAATATCGCTGACTGGTGGGTCTCCGGGCAGGCGGGGAAAGCGATGCGTGCTGTGTGTCTCGCGCCGGCGGCCGTCGCTCCCTGCCAGTCGCACCCCTGACGTGCCCTGTGCCCGCTCTGCCGCCAGTGCGTGAAGAAGTGCTCGCGCTACATCGTGGAGCAGAACGAGCGTCTGTGGCTGCCGCGCGGCCTGCTGCTCACCGACCCGATCGAGCGCGGCCTGCGGGTCATCGAGGTCAGCGTGCTGAACGAGCCGGCGCCGCAGCGGTGACGGGCGCCCGCCGACGCCGAGGGGGCCGGCTGAGCTCGCCCGTGTGGGTCCGGCCGCAGAGGCGGCAGGTGGCCGACGCCGGCGCCGGCGGCAGGCCGGCTCAGGCATCGGAGGCGACCTGCTGCCGAGAGGGCGCTATGGGGACTCCCGCAGCGTGCGCGGCACAGTGCAGGACTGAGCAGTGAAGTGGACTGCCCGAGGGCAGCGCGAATTTGGCAGGCTGGAGAAGGACAGGCGGCCGCCGCCCGCCTGCCTCGTACCCCGGTCTCCGCCCGTTGGTGACAGTGTTCCTGAGAGGGTAACGAAGACAACAATCGACTGACTCCTCGTTAGGACGTGTATATCTATAGGTATATTATTTTAGTGGTGAGTTTTCGCAGATGTCTGAAAATCGGATGTTGGCGTCGATTTAGCCAGTGTGGAAGACGGAAGACGGTGTTGCCATCAGTGACGGCTCATTTCCAGCCTGTAACCACATTTGGAAAGCGACAGTCGCTCGTCTTTCCATCAGCGGATAGGCGTTTTGCATTGTCTCTGGGTGATCGGCTGGCGCAAAAGGCGACACGTACGCATTTCGCTGTTCTGTCATGCTTGCCGCGAGTGGATGAAATGGCACTTCGTGCTGTCGTCTTCGTAGCGAACTTGCGCTCCCAACTGGGTATCAAGCCCTGTTTGGGTAGCTGATAAGCGCTGGCTGTATCGCCGGTCAACATTGACGTCACGCGAAATGCGCCGGTGCTGGCCGACACGTTATCAGCCGCGCTGCGCGTCCTGGTGGTCAATCCCGGCTCTAATGATGACTCAGTGAATGAGTGGTGCAACACCTTACCAATAGGTGGCAGCACAGGCTTCTCAGAGGTGTGGTCGGCGCCGCTGCGTTCGGCGTGTTCGTTTTGGGCGCCTCGGTCCCGTTGCCCTGCCTGCTTCCTTTGCTACTCGTACGTTCGCTGCTGATGGTGCGCACCGAGTGGCAGACCGCTTTCTGTCGTGGAATATATGTGTTTCTGGAGGTCATGTTTGTGAGACTCTGATGCACACCAGGCATTGCTGTGGGAGAAACGACTCCCACAGGCACTGCCTTTCAACTCGTTATTTATCGAGGGTATTGTTATGGTTGAGGTAGGCAATCGCTCAGCAGCAAGTGTGAAAATTGAAGCACTTCGAGTCCCCACGCGCATCCATATTCAGCATTCCATTGTTCTCGAAAGGCCTGATGCTGTAACAAGAACGCCACTTCATCGTAGGCATTTGCTGTGAGGAGTTGGTGCGGCGCAATGGGACGCAAATGACTGGGCTTAGCGGAAAATGTCTTGCTGCAGCAGTTCTCCTTCCCTCCTGAATAAAGCTAAAGGGTTTTCTACGTCATGTATAATCGAACTAAACGGAGTGAACATGCAAGGTGCGTAGGACATTTTGAACACTGTGGGTGTGCAATGTGGCGCTTTGGAAAGTTGCAGTCATGTTTCACTAGTTTACTCTGTTAAATAAACGGACATTCATCCCTCTCCAGTTGAAAGATGCTTCGCCATTCCCCTATACGAGACCTGACGCGTAGCAGCATTTTGGAAACTAAGCGTGATGGGAACACATGGAAGGCACCATGATACGGGCTTTTATCTTCCACGTGACTACTGACATGAAAACATGGGGTCAAACCGGATGTGGGGAAACCCCCGAGGATGGTGCGACCTATCCCGTTACATGTGCAGCCAGATCCCCACCACCGAGTTCAGAGGACAAACCGGCAGCGCGGTGTTAAGTGGAGCGCGTCAGTTGAGGCATTCCAGGTCCGCGTCGCGGCCGCACGTTGGACTGAGTCAGTGACGGCTGGTCCCCGGAGCGGCGGAGTGCCCAAGCGGGGTTTGTGCATCGTTTCCAATGGCTGGAGCGTTTCCTGCCGCTTGCAGCATTGCTCTGCCGTTCTGTACTGAGATTGGCGACGTCGAGCTGTGGCATACGTTCTTGTCATGACTTACATTGGTGACCAAGGGTCGATCTAACGTCGTCTAGGGGGAAGGGGGAGGGCGTCACGGGCTCGTGGGAAGGCAAAGTAAAAAAAAAACAACACGAAACCCCCTTGGCACAAGCTTCTGATGTTTTAGGGAAGCAATTTTCCATAATTTGTCCATGTTAGGGTCAGTGCTCCGGATTTCCCCCACTCTAGTGAACATGCTACACTATCAACATTTTGACAACTAGGCTGTCATTTTCTTTCCCTTGTAGCTGTCAAGCATCGCCACCGCCCACTTTTTTAACGGCTACTGATCGTAACAGCTGTCTTATAACATGCGTTTCAGTACTTGGATCTAGGATGTGCGCAACTCTGGTAATACTTAATGGTGGTTACAAGCTTTTGCAGCCAGGCGTCAGTTTTGCAACTGCAATCATCTAATCACCCGTGGTCCTGTCCGCCATTGTCGATCGCGTAAACGATGCCGACTCGTCGTGCAAGATATATACATGCAGGTACACACAGTGTTCTCTAGATTTCTTCCCATGAACCAGTTCCTCTTGTCTGATTCTGAAACCAGGAAGAACCTTGGAACTAGTCTGGGATCGGTTCAGAAGAGATCCAACAAGAACCAATATCCAGCATCGTGTTCATGGAACCAGCCAGAAACAGGATACAGACCGACGCTAAAGACGAGATATCCGGTAAGAACCAAGATCCGACTTGAGGATACATAGGGATCGAGCGATCAACTCCATGTGTGAAATTACGCGGAGATATACATCGACAACCAAAAATCGGCCTGGATATGATTAAAGATCCAACAACAACCCAGATCCATCCTCAAATTGTGCCAACGCTCCAGAAAAAAAACTAAGGTTAAAAAAGTTAGAAAACGCAGGGAAGTGTTCCAAAGTCCAGGGTTCGTTTTCTTGAGGGAAGTGCGAACCAGGAACCAATGTGGGAAACCACTAATCAGACGTATGTCTGGCCAGATGGCGGATGATTCATTAATGGACTTCCGAAGCCCTGAATCACGTCAGGGAGGTTCTGAATTGTAGGATGACCAACAAAAGGGCGGCTTCTAAGTGAATGTCAAACGCCAGGAACGAAGCAAGCTTGTTCGCTTTACCATGTTTATCTTTACGGGATAGCAGAACACGCCAAGTGTGGCCCCTCAGTGTACCATGGTATGACACACATCAAGTTATGGGCCCATTGAAAACTCCACTTCATTTCTGAGCGCGTTGTAGGCGCCAATGAGGAGTCCCAAACTCCTCAACTTGTTTTGGTGCGACATGGGCCAACGTGTGGAAGTGTTGGGCTCTGACGATACGGCGATACCACAGTGTCATGATGAGGTCTCTTCTCTCTCGATTTAGACATGGTGGTGCGTGGGAAAGCGCGATTAAAGAAGACCTGCGAGCCTCAGCGTTTGACCGGTTTGCCGAGCAGTAGGGACAGTGGCTTTGCCGCGCCACGTCTTCCGCGCTGCCCCAGCCATGGCCGCGCCACGGCCAGCCCCGAGCGGCGAGCCCTGCCTCGCGGGTCAGACGCCCACCGCCGGCCGCGCCACGGCCAGCCCCGAGCGGCGAGCCCTGCCTCGCAGGTCAGATGGCCACCGCGGGCTGCGCCACGGCCTGCCCCGAGCGGCGAGCCCTGCCTCGCAGGTCAGATGCTCACCGCCGGCCGTGGGACGAGTTCGGTCCAGAGCTGCGCCTCCAGGCCTGACCTGGATGGTCCAGGCCTCGCCGGTCGCCTGGAACTCATCGCGCCGCTCGCAGGTCAAACCCGTCGTCAATGAGCGCGGTGATCGGGCGGAGCGGCCGGTTCGGCGCTCGGTGGGCAGCGGGAGCGGTCTCACTCTGCGACGGCGCCGCAACAGGACCGGTCAGCAAGGTCAGGGCGGCTGCGCGCCGCCAGCCGGCGAGGTCAGGGGCGCGCAGACAATGAGCCCGCGTGTCGTTGCGTGCCGGTCCGGCCGAGAGAGAGCGTAATGGGGCCGGCTGGTACGCGGCGGAATCCGCCTGGCGGATGGCTGGCTAGTGGCGGGAGGTCATACCTCCAGCACTTCCGCTCGGCCCAGGGCACCGCGCGCCTGCGCTCGGGGGCGATGGGTTACCCAGGAGAGGGGGGGGGGGGAAGGCAGGGGAACGATCAGCTCCCTTTAATTTGGTCGGAATGGGGAAGCTATGTAGACCTTTTAGCCATGGCAACGGATATTTTAGCTGGTCATAAAAAGCTTGAATGCTTGGGAAATGATTCCTTCCGTGTTTAGTTACGCCGCTATTTGATTAAGCATTCCGCGGAAGCTTGCGTGGCACTGAAACTACCCATTTAACCCAATAGGTACGTGTTTTTACTAAGAAAAAAGATCCGGGTTACAGAGCAGCCTTCAGTTACTAGATCAGGATCGCGGATCTTGGGATTCACTTTACGGATCCGAGCATATGTCTGCCTCCTTACCACCAAAGTGCCTATGTCTTGAATGGTGCGCTATGTTGCGTTGTTAGCCATCGAGTACATTGCCTGGTAGAATACCCGTGCCACTGGAACGCAAAATAATTATTCTGGTAAAAACTGGCTCAAGTGTGTCACCATTGAGTGCAAAGCCACAACTCGTCATATCGTCATTGTTCCATTATTTAGGATGATGTTTATTTGGACACAGCGGGAACTTGCAGCAAAATCAGGTCAACGCACGCGTTGATAAGCAGATACCAGTTCTGGCAATGAAGCCGTCAAAACAGCTTAGCAACTCACAGCGATGAAAGATGCTGAAACGTGGCCACGAAATGAACCAGAACGTCTTGTTGCCCGGCGAGTCGTACAAAATAAGTTTTGGTATGCTTTACCCCCAAAAAATGTGACGTTACTGTATCAGTTTGCGGCAAATTATTCTTTGCACAAAAACGATGAAAAGCACTGGGTGCAAACCATCGGTAAATAAACATGGTGTATAAGCAGCCGCCAGCGACTTTGATCTCAGTGTTTTGCAATAATATGGACAACATCCACTAAAGTATAGACAGGAGGCCCTCTGAATGTACGAACACATTAGTTAAGGGCTTGCAACCAAAGAGCGATCACAAGATACTGCACCTTCCATGCAAGACAATTTTTGGATGAGATCTGAGAACCAATTTAAGAATGATTTGTCGCTGGATTTCAGCTGACACATTAACATGCCACACGTCCATTCTTGCGGTGCACGTCAACCGCACGGATCAAAGCACGGACGAACCAGGTACAAAGGCTAGCGTGAAGTTCAAGGGTGCTCATTCCAATAGGGCACAGTATGCAGCCAACTCTTCTACAGCTTTGGTTAATATGGTCTGTGAGCGCGCGCGAGGTGTGGATGAGCCTGCCGAAGGCTCCGACCCATCTCCGATGTGAGCGCGCCACGGAAACCGATCTCGGAGATCGCGACTCCGAGTGTGCCCCGATGTGGCCTGGGCAGCTGATAGATCTGGGGTGTGAGCTACAGCCGCTGCCGACGTACCCCGCCGCTTTGGACATACATTGCACGCCCAGGCCGTTCGGAAGCCGATGGTTGCGGACCCCTGATGCAGACACAGATGCAGATACGCGTCGATGCCGCTAGTAGGTTCAAGCCGTAAACAAGCCCGGGAAGGAACTATAGCACGGGCGGATCCAATGAAGAGTGGCGCGATCGCCGCACTGTATACTGATGGCGTGAAGGACAGCATGCTCCTTGGCGGCTTTTGAAAGGTGTCTGGCTGATGAACACTGCAGTGCATTTTACGAGCATTGGTTGGATGAGCGGGACGCTTGTCTTTTCTCGCGGTGGGGAGCTGCAGCCGTTAAGGGTTAGCAAATCGAAATATATCATCACACGCTTGTGGCGCTGACATACCGCCAGCTGCCACGGCAAAATGTCGCCACCGTACCACGCCATGTCCTCCTCAGGTGACTGAAGATGTTGACTGGCGAGCAACGTTCTGCTGCCAGTCACTGATCGGAAACCAACTGTCAATCTTGTTTTCTTTTTGGCTGTCAGTCTTGGCATCTTGTCGTAACATTAATTCCGGATTTCA